CGTCAGAAGACAATCCAGTTTGCTGTCACTAGTACATGGGGAAGGGGTAGGGGTGCTGGGGCTTATGGCTTTGTGTTGTACTTTGCCAAGCCCAGGCAGAGCACTGACAAGCCAGCTTCTGGCTGTTATCAACTTGTTTTTTGCACCTGGAAGAGAAAAAGAAAACACCCCAGAACACAGTGGAATCGTTCCAGAGAATTTAATACCACATCATATAAATCTTTGTAAAAGAAAAAACCTGGGATACAGCACTGTATAGCAACAGTTCACATGCTAGGCAGAGTAAATGATCCAGTTTGTGATTTGTGGCTGAGCAGTTTTCCTGGAGAAGATTCCAAATTAAAAAAAAATAATAATAACTAAAAGAACAAAACCAACTGAACAAATAAGCAACAACAACAACAAAACAGATTACAATTTTAAAGTCATTTTCTAAGGCCAAGTTTTAAGGTTAAAATTGTCAGTTACAACACTTATGCCATCACATGCTATATGTGTTCATACATCTCTGACTCATAACTTAGTTTTAGTCTGTTGGCCTTCATATAGTCACAGGAGGGAATCCCTTTTCTGATTCCATCTTCCCCTAATGCAGTCACCTCTTAGCTATTCCCATCTCTTCTTTTCTCCTTTGTTGCTTGTTCCTATAGAAGAATTAGAAGTGAGAAATGTATAACTCAGAATCAGAAGGAATGTCACATGGTCATCTACTTATCTTCCAGACATATGGAGTTCCACAGTGGATAAGGGGCTGGCCCAATGCAGCTTTATACAATAAAGACACCACATGCATTTTCTGTAACTTATCATTACCTTAAATGATGTCATTTATATAGTATATATTGACTGTCTCAACCACTTAATTCTATACCAATATATAGAACTAATCAATATTATTAGTACCTATATCCTCAATATGTTCTAAGTGTGGAGAATGTGAGAAACATTTGCATACATTATGAAAAATGAACTAGAGTTTTAGTCACTTGTTCACAAAATATACTTTTCAAAATTATACCAAACAATCTTGTGTGAACAATATGGAATGATTGAGGTTGTCTAGACAGTTTTATCCATCATGGATCTAGATTAAACATTACCTCACTTATGGATATTTAATTAGCACAAAGGTCTGGCGCTTCGTGCTAGTTTCATCTCCCCATCACTAACAATCAGCCTGTGAGTTTTCTAAGCCTCTGGATGAGGTAAATCTCGAAGGTCTGTTCACTGGGAACCAGATACTGCTGGCTTTTCACCAATATCAATGGGCCACTTATACCATGAGAACCTGAATTTAGTTGGGATGAGGCAAGAAGTCCAATTAATCTTGGCTGTGGTGGCATTAGGGAGGCAAAGACGTGGGTCTTTGTGCTTTGAGGCCAGCTGGACTACAGAGAAAGAGAGAATTCTAAGACAGTCAGAGTTATGTGGAGAAACCCTAGCTTGAAAAATGAAAAAAGAAACAAAGAACAAAAAAGAAATCCAATTAAAAACATTTGCTTTCAGAAACTCCTTTCTCCCAAGGTCTGCCTTATGACACTGTTCTGACTGTCGGATGATAGTTGAATGCCTCCCTTCTGTGGCTTTTGCTCTTCTTAGTCCCACTGATCTGTCTGCTTGGAGAGCCAAGGAAAACGAGATGTGGTGATACATTGTTTATGATTTAATAAAGCTTGCCTGAAGATCATAAAAGCAAAGCAGTCATCAAGTAGCCCTTACCTCTATCAAGGCCAAAATGGAGATCTTGTCTTCCCTGTGACTGGAAATTGAATCTCCTGTGAGACCCTTTCCTTCTTACTTATATACCTCTCTAGTGCTGGGATTAAAGGCTTGAGCTCCTACTTTATTGAGAAGTCTGCCAAGTACATTGTAACCTATGGTCTGAAAATGGATGTGCCAATTTACAGAAGACCTTTGGATGACTGGCCAGGTAGAGAGATGTAGAGTTTATGTACTATCATCCTTCTGTGGTCTTTGATGGAGTTGAAGACAAATAGTTATTATTATAGTTTTCCTTAGTTAGGATTAAAGATAAGTTACATAGAAGACTTTAGACTCACAAAGAGAATAAATGATGGAATATTTTCTTTAAATCTTACTAAATGTTAACTATAGTTCTTATTTGATAATGTTTTGTTGTATATTTTACTATATTAAAGACCTTTATATTTTAGACAGAAAAAAGGAGATGATGGGAGATGTCATTCTGTAAATATGTTTCTATTATTGGTTAATGAGTGAAGCACTGTTGGCCAATAGTAAAGCAAGATAGGTGGAACTAGGAGAGGTGGAGGACTGTGGGAAATGTAGTAAGTCTCAATGTGATCTCAGGAGGAGAGGATGTGAGTCTGTCATTCTCAATAAGATAAGACCATGTAGAAATACATATGTTGGTAATTATGGATTAATATTTAAGACAGAGCTAGACAAAAAGAAATGCTAGTAGCAGGCCAACAGCTTTATATCTAATACAGTGAGTGGCAAGGATGCTAAGGACAGTTTGGCAAGAAGTAATGATGTTTTATCAAAGAACAGGAGCCATCTAAGAGATGATTTCCACAGATGTGAATGGCTGACAAAGGGGATGCTGAGTCTTTAGTGTTGAAGAAAGGTAACTATGCAGGGATGTAGAGATGTAGAGATGGGGGAGTATGCAGAGAATGGTCAGTCTAGCAGAGAAGAACAGCAGTTCTGTTCAGTTGGGACATGACCAGAGCTGTTGAAGAGTGAGTGAGAGCTGATTACGTTACCCTGACATCCAAAAGTTGGCACACACTAGGTGAGGCTTAGATAAATACTTTCTGAATCTTTTGTAACTAGAAACAGTGACCAGTAATCTAGACATTTCATAGATCTTCCATCACTCAAGTCTCAAGAACAATATAGGTTCAAAACAAATGTACTTATTTTGCAAATGGAGAAACCAAGACTAAGGTTGGGAGAGATTGACTTTGAGTTAAACCAGCATGACTCAAAGCCTGTCTATGAACCATACCATCATTTTAGCAATGAGATTTGGCAAATATAAAATTTAAAGAAGTACTTGTCAATAACCTCCTTTGCCTATTCGGCCAAACTAAAGCCACACTGTTTTCTTGGGGAAACCAAAAACAAGAAAAATACTTTCATTATAGACTATAATTGTGTGAAAATGAAACTGAAAACCCATTATCTTGCCTCTGATTTCCTTCAAAACTCTGAAAATGTCACTTGTTTCCCAAGGAAAACTTAATTTTAAGCTGTTATTGATTTGTTTTTTGAGAGTGGACAAAGAAACAGAAGAAAACAATATTTCCAAGGAAAACTGCACCTTAAGGTTTTATGCCTTCATAGTTTTAAGAATGGAGATTGAAAGAAAAATAATTCAGAAGTCAGGCTGCTTATTTCCAAAAATAAAGATACAAAATCAGCAGAGATTTGGGTCCTTCTTCTCTTCCTCCCTCCCTCCCTCCCTCTCTGTCTCTCTCTCTCTGTCTCTCTCTCTCTCTCTCTCTGTGTGTGTGTGTGTGTGTGTGTGTGTGTGTGTGTAATAAAAGTGTCTATTCAATCTATTCATGTTAAAGGAAAGTGTGTGTGGTTTTATTTTGTTAATACTTCAGGGAGTCTCAATCACTCTCAAGGGGTGCCAGGGATGTTTTGAAACATAAATAGCTCAAAAACATTTACAAGAAATATGACATTGATGGTGTTTTCTATATAAAGAAACTTAGGAAGACAAATATCATAATGGGTGGCAAAAAAAATCTAAAGATTTGGGAAAAATTGATTTAGCAACAACAACAGAGAGAGGGAGAGAAGGAAGATAAGATAATAATAACAATAAGGAGAAGAGGGGGAGGAGGAAGAGGGGGATGAAGAAAGAGAAGAGGAGGAGAGAAAAAAAGGACAGAGGATAGGATGGAAGCAGGAGAACAGTATTCATAGTCTTGGGATACCTTTCACTGAGTAAAATGTTATTTCTACTGCACATATTAATACTTTCTCATAACTCTTTTAATTGCTACATTATAAAATTAGTATTCAAATTGAAAGTCACTTTGTACTTTTAGATATATATCTTATGATTTTATAGTATATTGCATATTTTATTTTTGTCCCTTTCTTAATTTTTCCTTAATGCAATTTTATGGTTATTCAGTGTGTGTGTGTATCCAACATACCACAGTGTGTATGTGAAAATAGGAGGACAATACCTCTCACAAAGTGAGAAACAATTGGTTCTCTCCTCCTGTCATATAGGGTTCAGGGATCTACTAAGGTTGTCATTTAACAACAGGTGCTCATACCAAATGACATATTTCACCAGTTTCTCCTTAATAGTTTTTGAGAAATTTTTAAATTCATGAGACCTTTGAACCTCATTAAAACCAATAGTGTAGAAATACAATTATCATCCCCAATAAATTGTGCATTCATATATCTTGAATAATTAAAATCAAAGGTCATAATGCTGTCTTCCACAAACTCACAGTAATTCAACTCCGAGAAAGAAATGAGTTTTCCTTTACTTTCATAACTTCCAAAAGAGTAAATTCCTAGGAAAGAACTCATTTTAAAGTAGTTGGTAGTAAGCATATGACAACTAATGAAAAAAGAGAGACCATGGATTTGAAAGAGGTTGAGGAGTTGTATATGGAAGGGTTAGAGTGAGGAAAGCAAAAGGAAGGTGATATAATATAGATTGAAAACACTAATAGAAAAAAACTTACAACTCCATAAAAAGCAGTCATTGACTTCATGGGCGAGACTATGAATTAATGAAGACCTTTTTTTTATTCTTTCACAGAGAAGAATGATAAAACACTAAGGGTTTATTAAAATGCAATGTGACTGAGGACAGAGCCTAGTGGATGAATATTTGCATATACAAAGCCCTGGCTTCATTCTCTAGCACCAAGAAAAAAAAAAAAAAAAAAAAACAGAAAATCCCAGACAAACAGAAAACAAACAATACATGATTGATGGCTTAACTTCACACAGTTAAAAAGGAGAACACAGAAGAAATTTGCCATGTTTTATTATAAATTTACCATTTCCTTTTCAATGATTAGATGATGCCGAGAAACCAACATTGTACAGCTTAGAAAACACAGAGACATTTGTTTCTTTAAGTAACCATTAAAACACCACTGGATGAAAAACATTTCATATCTGATGTGATATTTTGAATGAAGACAACTGACATCTACCTATTATTGTCTTCTTGAAGTAAACTCTGGTCTTATCTATAACAGAAGCATGCTAAATGCAGGTATTAAATTAGGAGCTTCCACAGACATTCCTCTTCCATTAATCCCCACTCACATTCATTCCAAATGCATTTAGTATTTATTTTGTTCTCTTACAATAATGCTCTCTACATTGACTTTAGAAAGTAAATCATATTAGTAGGCCAGGAGGAGTTCAGCTTTGGCAGTATCAAAATGAGAACATACACATGGTAGCAGATCCCTAGGCATTGTTAGTTTAAAAGAAAAAATGCTGTAAAATAAGTGCCTATCCTTTACTGCAAGTGGTACACAACACATTGCACTTGGTCTCACAGTTCAGTCAAGGAGACTTCCAGGAGGATCACAACAGCTGTGACTGTGGAGGATGAGGCATAAGAGCCTGCTGGAGGTGGGTCTTGGGAGTACCACTGGGTATTCAGAAGAGTGTGCAGTCCAGTTATTCCCAAGAAGTCCTCTTGCTGCAGATGAGTAACTAATGGTTCCACTTCTCTTCTCTTTCACTTGCATTTTCTTCTTCTTCGGGGAATGCTGATCCATTCTGGCCTTTCAGATGCTTAACCCCTGAAATTATAAGAATTGTGCAAAATTCAAGTGAATTTTATTTCTGGTAGATCCACTGCTGAGTTAGTGAAAACATGGGATGAGAAAAATTAATGTGTGTGTTTGTTTTCTCCAAGAATTTCAGCAATGTATCCTTTTCATTCACTGAGCAGTAAAAGCACACCCAGACAAATTTCCATTAGAGACAGGGTATCTTTTATAATTACATCTTCTCCATTAAGGATTGCATCACAGTCTATTAAACCCCTGTTAACTAAAGATCTGCTCAGAGGCCCTTATTATAATTCTGATGTATTGTTTAGTGAAAATATTTCTTTTGGCATGACTGAACTCAATTACAAAGAAGGCCTTTCAAAGTCATAATACCAAAAGGGATGTGTGCCATTTCTGTAATGTATAAACAAACAAGTAACAGTCACAATATTGTTAGCTTTATGTTTGGACCCATAATGTGCCCACTGGATTATTATTAATTCTTTCATTCAAAAATTTTCAGTAAATATGCCCACATAGTGGAAGAACCTATAGGTATACCTTTGCTGCTTAGATAGCCTGTCCTTATCTTGCCTGGTGGACTTCCTTTTTCACAAGGTTTTGTTTTCACCTTTCATAGTAATTTCTGCTCTAAGTTTCCTCTAACCACCCCAGGCTCAGTTAAGTATCTAAGCTTTTCTTCTTCTGTAGTCAATGCCAAAAAGTCTTTCTCCTCCTCACATATCTAACCATCTTCCACTCACCCTTCAGGTATCAGCTTGTCTCTCCTGAAGGAGAGCACAGCTCCCATGTGGAGTTAGAAAGTTGTCTCTCATATCTGCCTGCTGCGCTTGATCCCTTCATGTGTCAGTTACCTTATAGAGCTCTATTAACGTCTTTCTCATTAGACAAAATGCATTGATGTCAGAGAATATGTCATTTCACTTTGGGATCACGGGCAAGATATCTACCCAACAATAAGTGTTCATTAATACTCAGTCGAACTGATTGACTAAATTAATTAAGAAACAGTTTAGTATGTGTCCTGCCAATTTCACAATAATTTATCTTTCGATTTCTTTTCTATTCCAAGTCTGAAGTACATGATGAGAAGATTACCACTACATCCCCATTTTACCCACAGACTCATTTTCAAGTCCCCTTAGCTATGATCTGTTAAACAACATGCCAGCTGATATCTTCACTTGTGGTAATTTGTGTGAATTTTTATGTTTGCACAACTCTTTTATGATATTTTCTAAGAACCATGAAAATGTTCAAATTAGAACTGAAAAACAAGAGCAAGGTCTGGCTCATGTTTTCAGTAAAACCAAGACTCAAGAGATGTGTGAGTTTGTATGCATTGTTACCTTCAGTGTACAATTTGGCAAGAAATGATATCAGGACTTAGTGCATTATCTTGTAACAATATTTGAGCAGATGTAATATTTAAATGTTTTAATGTGCATATACAAGTCACTCACAATTTCTGTTGACACAAGACAATAAAGAGAAAATTATTAATAGCAATTGGGAATTACTTCTTATTACAATGAGCTACATGGAAAAGTCATCTAAATGCTGAGTGGAAAGGAAGGGAGCTCATTGAATCCAAGCAGATACTCAGCTGGAGTTTTTGCATGAATGGCTCAGAAAGCCTCAGAAGTCCATGTTGTAAATACCTGGTGGGGTGTTGAGATTCTGAGAAAACAAATGATTTGCTCTCAACTTTAAAGTGGTATGGTCCTAAGGGGAGTTCTAGCATATCCTAGTCACAGGGTTCCACTATCAAGGTATCTCAGCTGAATTTCAACTTTAACTTTTAAGATGCCAATCCATACTCTTTAGCCATTCTCTCAGACAAGTTATATATTTACAGCACCACACCCACTCTGGTGCAAAAGGCTCTTAGGGTCCTTTTGTCATCATTAGGTTTAACGTTCCCATTCAGCACACATTTTCCTGAGCAGAGGTTGACAGTCCCTCCCCGAGTTCACGTTGACTCTAGCACCCTTTCAATTCAACAACAAGGTAATTAATGAAATTGTGTTTAAGAATTTAAATGAGGAATGCTGATATTAATTTGGGTAAATGTAAGAAAAATAGAAAGAAAAAGGCCAACATACTTAAACATTAATCATTCCCCACATTTGAGGACAGGCCTATTTCTTATCCTGATTGGAATTGTATTTATTTTTTATGATAACAATCACCATAAATTTACATGAGACACATTTCCTGAAATAAAACCACTTTGAAATGAAATCTTTTCAAGGGAAAAGCTTAGATAAGGCCGAGCTGGTAACAGGTTGCCACAGAGATGTCCTGTAGAATACTAACCACAAATTCTTTAGTTTCTAAAGCAGTTTACCCTGATGCCTTCTGTCAGTTGAAGAAGCTATGGTTGATTAATTTCTATCTTGAAACCCTTGTGAACCATTACTTTATCTTTACCCATCAGCAATATTCATTTGATTATAGACCCAATGATGTTGAAAGTATACAGTCTGCTGATGTATGTTTTATAATGTCTCTCTCTACATAGCTTTCATCCATGTTTCAAGTTTCAATTTTTTAAAATATTTATTCAATATTTGAGCAACCCCATAGACAGAGAATAAACTATCCTGGAGGCATTGATGAAGTTCTAAGACTCCACCATACAGATGCATGAGGAAAGCATTTTTCTATACATGGTCTATGATGGCTCAAACTTCAGTCAGTATCCAGGGCAAGTGTACACTCAGTCATTACTTCCCACAGGCAGGAGACAAAGGAACCACAGAAACCACAATGGATGTGCCTTTTCCACAATAACATGAGCACACAGAAAAGGAGTAATACAGAAGACCAGGCTATATGGCACACATTTGTAAAAATATGAAGAAAATGGAGTTGAAGACAGACAAAGTAGACTGAGTCAAAGAAGAATACAGACTGGAAGGGAAGGAAGGAAGAAAGGAAGGAAGGAAGGAAGGAAGACGATGCCCAGAGGCAGAGCACTGTGTGTGTGTGTGTGTGTGTGTGTGTGTGTGTGAGTGTGTGTGTGTGTGTGCATGCTCCCTCGTAACTTTGTAAAACAGGTGGTTTGGCAGGCAGAGACAGGAACTGCCACAATTTATCTTCAGCTTTATAGTTCCAGACTTGCTAAGGACACATAGCAAGATGATTTCTCTCTCTCTCTCTCTCTCTCTCTCTCTCTCTCTCTCTCTCTCTCTCTCTCTCTCTCACACACACACACACACACACACACACACACACACACACAATGAGGCAACTTTGGTTAAGTAAGTGACCAGTTTCCACATGACACTATGGGATCTTCTCTTGCCAAGAGCAGAACATGTGACTTTATTGAGATGTTCCCAAGGACAGAATCCTCAGCAGTTTAGGAAAGAGACTTGGTCTCTTCCTGTATATATCAGAAGAACTATTCTATAGGAACTGTACATGAAATTAGAAAGTTTGGAATATAGAAAATTAAGAAATGATGATAGAGACTCCAACTTTCTAAAATAGTGGAGGAAAATTAAAACTGATCTATATAGGACCTATGAGCACAAATAGGGTCAATGGCTGACAATAAGGTAAAGAGCAGATTGTGTCCGAAATAGAAAAAGGAGCTCTCAAATCTCCTATTTGTTCAGCAAACAACATATGTGATTTTGCTTCTTTGTTTTGTTTTTTGAGCACAGGTATCACATGTAGTCCATTCTGTTCTGGAACACATTATGTAGCCCAAGTTGACTTTGAACTCATAGAATTTGTCTATCTTGGCCTCCTGGATAATGCTGGGGTTGCAGACTTCAGCTACCATGCTTGGCTCAAATGCACATTTGTTTAAAAAAAATTCAAAAATACATTGGTTAAATGTACAGTTAAAATTTCTCTTATTGGTAAAAGCACATTATTTACCTCTTAGTAATCACTCTAAAGTCCTTAGGGTATCTGTGGGTATATTTTTGAATATCAATCATCCACTTAGAAATCTATAATTTTTATTTATTTGTGCCTTTTGAAGGAAAAAGCCTTACAATTTTCAACAGATCTTGTCCAGCTATCTTATCTCCAAATAATTATAAATATGAATATTAACCAATCAAATATCTCTGGTTTAAAGAAGAAAGTAAATTTTCCTGCTACATTCGCTGAGAAAACTATTGAATGAACTAGGTCACACACTTTAGCCCTTTGCTCTTACTGAGAGCTCTTTGCCTGGGTAGAGTGTAATGCTCTGCTATCAGTGATCTTTTACAAAGTCAGAATCAGAAAGAAAATGCAGTAACTCAAGATCACTGGGCTCTTTTCATCATTAAACCAGATTTAACTGTAACCTATCCCATACTGTTGGTTTTATTGGAATAAAAAAAGGTTGAATTTAATCTAATTTATAGACACTCTTTAAACATAACCAGGCTACAAATAGAGATTGAGTTATGAGAAAAGAGGAAACTTTCTTCTTCTGTATAAAAACATTATGACTGGATTCTAGACATGTGCAATGTGGCCATTTAGTCTTCAGAGACAGAATCAAGCAGTTTGATTTAAATATAATAAATCCCATCTGGGAAAGAGACAAAACTAGGGATCAGATAGGATGTAGGATTATGAGTGATGGTGTGCACATGATTTAATTTAGTGGAAAATTATTATAGATGAGTAGAACAAGCAACTCTGATGAGTATAACAGTCCTCCAATTTGAGTAATAGCAATTTAGGCCATTTATAGAGCAATAATCTGGTTAATAGCAAGCTTGGTGTGTATGCAAATACTACTTGCAAAATATGTTGAACAAGTCTTAGTTTTTTTCTGAAAGCCTTTTGTGTATAAGGGAATGATTTCTGTGGTACTAGCAAGACAATTACTAATGATTAAACTTATTTAAAATGTAATGTTAGATAGAGTCTATTTAATCGTTAATGTGGCACTCAGAATGGCCTCTCAGTAAAGTCCTATCATTTCCTAAATTGGAAATGTGTTTTGCATGTCCTAAAATGCCTTCATATACTCTGTATTTTAACACTTT